TTGCCAAGATCATTGCTGAAATTTAGCTGTAAAAAACCTGTTGCCAGGGAGTCGATTCTGACTCATAGTGACCCTACGACAATCCTATCGGACAGAGTAGAACTGCTGCATAGGGTTTCTAAGAAGTAGCTGGTGGATTTGAACCGCTGACCTTTTGGTTATCAGCTGAACTCTTAACCACTGTGCCTCCAGGGCTCCAAAATTTAGCTATAGGTGACATATATTGATTGTATCAGCATACACAGAACATAAACTGTATTGTTTCCAGTCTTGCAAATTTAGGGCAAATTAAAAAAATATTTCTTCGTTTTATATATAGATAGTCATAAATTTGAATATCTCTGCCTTTGTTAAAACAGTGAAAACTGAATTATTGCACATCTCTCTGACGTGACTTATCAGTGAAAACATAATAAAAGAGAACCATCTGTGATAGATAAACTGTTACGATGAGTAATAACCATAATAGCTATGAGTCACTTATTCCCCAAAGTTCAAATTGGTATCATCAGAGACTTCATGTGGTAGGCAGAGGTCTCCATAGAGCTGCTGCTGCTGCTACATTTATGTTAGATTTCACATGCTTCTGCGTAGGAGAAGATACCACTTCACTGAAATGTGCTACTATTATTCTCATTGTTTATTGTGGCAGTAATTACTGCTGGTTCTGCAAATGTTATTTCTAGAACCATCCAAATGTTTTTCTTCCTTTGTAGAGAGGAACCATAGTACAAAATACGATACGCTCTGAGTTGCATAAGTATACAGCTGGAGGCTGTTCTCAGTTCCCTGTACTCTTTCTCGAGATCAAATATGGCCATTTGCTTGACCTGCCCTTCAGCCTGGTTTGCCCTCACAATTCTAGATGCTCTTTCATGCAGTCTTTAGAAATCAACCTGTCAGTGTAAGAGTGGTGGATAATCACATGTATTTTTGGCTTGTGTAAATATTTGTCACCCATTGTAGATTTTAAGAGTATGTCTCCAAGGTTATACTTTGTATATAAATGCAACCATTAGAAGGGTCACGTTCATATGGATTGGGCATGGAACAGTTCTTGCAATAAGTTAAATATTCAGATTGACTGAGCAAGATGTCCTGCTTATAACCTAGTTTGGGAAACTTCCATCATTAATGCATTTAAATAGGCTTGTTTACTGCAGCATCAACCTCATTTTGCATCATTTTTATTAGAAATAGTCATACATTACTGTGTCTACATTACTGATGTTGCATACTAAGGGAAATTATTTTCAACATCCATTAAAGCTATAGGCGCTTGACTATAACTTTTTTTTTCTGCTAAGGAGATGTCTTTGATTTCTTTAAAATTTGTTTTAAAATTACATGCTAATGAATTGAAATTTATTTGAAAATTACATGCTAATGAATTGAAATTTATTTGAAAATTACATGCTAATGAATTGCTTTTCTCCATTTATCATGATTTATATTAACCTGTTTGTTTTGTTTCTAGAGTACCCCCAAAACAAAGTTTAAATGTTTTAAATGATATTATCTTAGGTTTTTAAAAACAATATAT